CTACTCGTGTTCGTGTTCGGTAAGCGTTCGTTTATGTTCGTTTGTTAAGGTAAACGAACATTAACAAACAAAATTTAGAGCTCGGTTAATAAACGAACAGAGCTTGAACAATTTTAAGCTCGTTTGCTAAGAGATCGTGAACAAGCTCGTTTGTGTTCGTTTACTAATGTTCGTGAACAAGCTTGTTTATGTTTGTTTAATAATGTTCGTGAACAAGTTCGTTTGTGTTCGTTTAATAATGTTTGTGAACATGTTCACAAACATATATATTATATTATATTATATTATATTATATTATATTAGTTTTGTAGTTGTGTTGTTTGTTTGATTATTGTTCGTGAATGTAGATTATTTATTGTTCACGAACGAATTGTGATCATGAACATGTGCAGGTGTTTGTTTATTAAGTGTTCATGAACGTAAATGAATATGTTCGTGAACGTGCTTATTAATGAACATGTTTGTGAACGTGTTTGTTAATGTTAACGAACACGTTTGCGAACGTGTTCACGAACGTTAACAAACACGTCCGCGAACATGTTCGTTAACGTTAACGAACACGTTCGTGAACGTGTTCGCGAACGTTAACGAACACTAACAAACGCTTAACAAACGAACACGAACAGGATTTTCAAAAACCTTAACAAACGAACACGAACATGAACACTCCAAATTCCTTAACAAACGAACACGAACAACCTCCGTTCGTTTATGTTCGGTTCGTTAACAGCCCTACTTAGTGTGACTAAGGCATTTTAGCAAACATCTAGCCTCCTCACGGGTCTTGCCCTCTCAGATCGAAGGACGGAGAATGCAAATATGTAGGACTCCATAGAATTACAATCTCTTGCCAATTATACTCTCCTAAACTCCTCACTTATCCCAGCCGAAGATGAGGAGAGGATCAAATATATGAGAATTTCAACTATATTATATTGTACATTTTAACATTTTTTATTTTATTTTAAAATTCATGATAATATAATTTCTTTCGTGCATCACATTGATAAAATACTATTTTATATATATATGGAAGGGTTCAGGTGCGGTTGATGCTTTCCGTGCGGTTGTGCAGTTGGACGCACCTTAAGCATTAACATGGTGCACCTTAAGTGCACAAATCACCAGACATCTTATTAAGCCCACAAACAAAGCACCTTAAGAACACAAATCACTCACCTTAAGTACAAAAATCACGCACCTTAAGCACGAAACAAAGCACATTAAGCACAAAACTCACGCACTTAAGATTTTAAAATGTCTTACATTAAACACAAACTCACGCACATTAAGTACAAAAAACACGCACCTTAAGCACAAATCTCACGCATCTTAACAAAACCCACGCACTTTAAGTTTTACCAACTACTCACATTAAGCACAAACATCACGCACCTTAAGCACAAACTCACGCACATTAAGAACAAACCCCACGCACTTTAAGAACAAATCTCACGCACCTTAAGAACAAATCTCACGCACTTTAAGTTTTAACAAGTACTCACATTAAGCACAAACCCACACACGTTAAGCACAAAACTCACACACCTTAATCACAAAACCACTCACCTTAATTTTGACTTAGATGCAAAAATTACCAAATTGCCACAACATTTTTTTTTTAATTTTGGTAATCTTAGACGTCGATTTAAGTAGAATCAATGGTTCTGTTTTAACCGCACAACCGCACCTGGGCTGTCCACCACACCTGAACCTATAGGGAGGGCTTCAAGTGAGAATCCTTTTTTAGGAAGGAACCTATGAACTAATATGAGCCATTAAAATTTACACAATCAACGGTTTATATAAAGTAATCATTATTATGTAGATCTTTAACATAATTAATTATAAAAAGGATACGCATTAAAAAAAAATTAAAAAGGATACTAGTGTAATTTTGTCTATGTTCTAATTTTAAACTAATATTATATTTGAATTGATTCCAAGATTTTGGGATGAGAAGATAAGAAAGAAGTTCAATTGGTTTAGGAGTTTACATTCGGCTAATCTACCCAGCGTCTACTGTCGTCCGGTGATCTTGAAATTTCGGCGACCGTCCGCGTTTGGAGACGTCGACAATTGGCGTGTGCGGCTCTAGGATGGCAAGTGAAGACCACGTAGGTAAGATTAATATTGAACTTTCTATGTCTGTGCGGTTTTCAATTAAGGATTTGTTTAGATTCATCCATGTGTAGTGGTGGGTTAAAGCCTACAATTACATGAATTGTTCATTATCATACTGTTGCGCGCGACCCCACAATTGCATGAAGAGTTTAGATATTTTTTGTGCACAAACCTGTGTTCCCAGATGTGTTGAACACAGAGTAATTATGCTAAACAACCAACTGGATGTCATTTACAGTGCTGACTAAATATGTTATTCTGCATCGATTAACTACTTACAACTGGATTCCTTCAGCACATCATTACTCTGTGACAAAGGGCTTGGCTGCATTCTTGTATAGGATTGGCACTAAACAGCATCTTGATCTAGGAAAAATTATCTTTGATCATATCCTATCCGTCATCAATCCTAGAGAGCAAAAGGTAAAACTACCTTATCCTAATATGATTTTTAGTATGCTTACTACTCAGGGATTATCACCACATGCTCATGAAGTAATTAATGAAGTCCACCTCACTCTACAAAGTTGATACTCGATTATTGAGTGGAAAGCATGTGAAGGATGTAAAGCCGGTCATTCCATCATTGGTGCCAGTTCAAACAGATGAAGATGAAGAAAGTCTTACTCCTTATGCATGTTCGTGACCTCCGTCACTCACTCAAGCTAAAAAGACAAGTTAATGATCTAGAAGTTGCAAGTAGGATTATCAATCAACAGCTAGATTTAGCTCGGCCGGATCGAACTTGTTACTGTTCTACTAGGACTGAGTTTGTCAGATTAATCTTCAATAACAGCTGGTGATGATCAGGTCCACGAGGAAGGTCCCCCAACTTCTTGAATTTACTTTGTCTATTCATTTAACAAAAAGGGGCCGGGGAGTAGTGAGTAGTGCGTTGATTGAGGGTGGGGGTAACTTTGAGTAATTTCTGAAGAGTAAATACCAGTGGACATCCTTCGATTTTAGTGGCACTGTCACTTTTAGTCCTCACCTTTTAAATCAATCACTTTTAGTCCTTCTACTTTTTGTTTCTAACCATCTATGGTCCTTCCGTTACACTTGGCTATCTAATGCCATTTTCTCAAGGGCAATTCGGTTCGTTCTTGAAATTAAAATTAGTTGAAAATTAGGCATTTTAATGAATGCAAGGCGTGTAATTTCTTCAAAAAAATACTTAATACATTAATTATGAAAGGATCGAATTGCCCTTGAGAAAACGGCATTAGATGACCAAGTGTAACGGAAGGACAATAGATGGTTAGAAACAAAAAGTAGGAGGACTGGAAATGGATGATTTAAAAGGTGAGGACTAAAAGTGACAGTGCCACCAAAGTTGGAGGATGTCCAATGGTATTTACTCAATTTTTGAAAGACAATTGGTTGCTTGGTTTTACAGGTCTTCCTTACTTGCATGTTCTTGGTTTCTATTTGGGTTTGTAATAAGTCAGAACAATCGTCCTTTGAAAAGGACTTTATCTTTATTTTTATATTAGTAACTGCTCTTTAATTACTTGTATTATGTTTTAATTGAGTTTTTTTGCCAAATAATAGCCACAGGGAGATTTTGTTAGTGTTTAAATATTGTAGACCCAAACATGTAATTGGCAAATTATGTTGGTTAGGTTTAGTGTCTAGTTATAGGACTGATCGAAGATCTAACAGAGCAGACACTGCACGTATTCGCAGATAGCTTGTACATCAGTTACCTATCTGACGTACCTCAAAGGGTAAGATAGTAATTCAATCTCCTATTTGAAATATCTTAGGAATTACTTATCTTTCAAGAATCAGAATACATTATACATGAGAGATGTCTAAAAACAGAGATAAGGAGAAATATACAGAGATTACGAAGCAATATTTGAAACATAAGAAACTCTCTCCATAACTTAAAAGGATTACTCTAATGTATCATCTTCTCAAGCCAATATGGTGAGATTACGAAGCAATATTTGAAACATAAGAAACTCTCTCCATAACTTAAAAGGATTACTCTAATGTATCATCTTCTCAAGCCAATATGGTGATTTGATCTAAAAAGTCACTTGAGAAGAAAAGGTCTACAAATTTGTATATTGTACCGTATCCATACAACTGTGGTACAGTGGTGAGTGCGTCAGTGAGACGGACAGTGATAATGTGGATCTCCAAAGAAGGCATTTCTTGGACTGTTGATTGCATAGATCTCCAGCGTCGATAATCCTCTATGGTATATTATGAATGAGTTTGATTCGGATATTAGGGCTAATTGTTGAGGGAAATGAGTTGATCTCCGGCGTCGATAATCCTCTATGGTATATTATGAATGAGTTTGATTCGGATATTAGGGCTAATTGTTGAGGGAAATGAGTTGTTTTGGCTGGGCTTGAAATTAAAAGATTGTTTTTCCCTTATTTTTAATGGCGCAGACACATATGTTAAAGGAATGACTACTTCAGGTTGAAATTCAAAACTCGGAGAACCAAGGTGGTCGATTTGAAAATTTAGGACTAAACGTGGCGAAATTACCAAACTCGGATGACCTTAGATGGCATTAACTCATTCTTTAAATAAATTATTTAAATTAAATATAAATATTGTGCATTAAATCAGTTGCGCAATGTGTGCGTAAAACCTAAAATTAAAAATAAACGTTTATTGGAGGTGTCCATCTAATAGATCCTGTTTCAGGATATATGGATTGAAGTATGGTATGCAATGGACCCCAATTCATCTTTGAAAACCATTATTTATTATATTGTGTTCCCTTGATGGGACGACAAAGAATAAGTTCCTAAAAAAATTCTTTAAGGAGCAAGCAATAATATATCTATACTTTAATCTGAGGATTCGGCTAGAATGCAAGATACCAAAAACTTTACAGGAAAAAAGAATGAATGACCCAAGAAATCATCTTTTGGAAGCATGCAAATAAATCAAGGTATATCTGTGTACAAATTAAAGAAGTCTTTGATTGGTGTTCGCTCTTTCTGTAGGTATATAAATCCAACAAAACCCACAAACAATTTCAACAATCAAATCAAAGTTTCAAGAAAAGCAAAGAATTCGGCCAAGGATCGGAGAGGTTGAAATAATATAATGGATTCAAGGAAGTTTACACTACCTCTGAACTATGAAGATTTTGATCCAGATTTTGATCAGGTACAAGAGCCTCAAGTTGACACTCTCCTCATTTATTTACCAGGTGAGATTTCGATGATCCTTTTAGTTTTGTTATTAAAACACATAGCGCTTTAATAAAAGTAACAAGTATAAAGATTAAAAGACCCCTATAATAATAATAATAATAATAATAATAATAATAATAATAAGGGTATAATCATTCATACTTTCTTCCCAACTGAAAACAAAATATCATCGCTACCTTTGAAAAACTTTTTCCTCAAAACATTTTTGGTCATGTTAGGTAAAATAGTTAGCCTATTCGTCAATTTTAACTTATTTGACCACTATTAGCTGTTTGATTTGGTTAAATAATCAATATGAGTATTTGATTAATAGCTTTTTGTAACAACTTATTGCTCCAAAATGTTAAAATTTAAAAAATTGCTCAAGATAGCTTTTTTGACCAGCTTTTTGAGAAAGTCATTTTCTATGTAATCAGTTAACAAGTTAATTTACCAAACACTTCTACAATCAGCTAATTCTATCAACTAAGTCAAATCCAGTAACATAATCAACTAAAAGGGCGGATTATTGTCCACACAGTGTTATGTGGACCATAACAAAAAGTACATTTTTAATATACTAAATGTACATTATTTTTGTACTGAATGTACATTAGACAATATAATGTACACTCGGTACAAAAATATTGTACATCCCCTGAATACAATATACATTATTTTTGTGCTAAATGTACATTACTTTTGTACTAAATATACATTATTTTATAATATACAAAATATGTTCCACACAACTAGTATGAATTGGTCCACACAATAATGATTGAAGTAACAGCTATCACTAACACTATTTACCAAACATCCCATTATGTGAAAAAACTTTGAAAAACTTTTTCCATGGAACCAAACATGTTGTAAAAGTTTAATAAGCTGCTGCCTGCTGGTTTTTGGCCGCAGGTTTTAGGAAGGAGGAGATAAGGGTTCAATTAACCGGAACAGGAATCCTGAAGATCAGCGGTCAGCGGCGGCTCGAAGGCGACAAATGGAAGCGGTTCTTGAAACAATTCCAGGTTTCATCCAACTGCGACACCCACCGGATCAGTGCCAAATTCGAATCCGGCACTCTCTACATAACACAGCCCAAACTCATCATCCCTGCAGCAGTGGAAAAACCCGCAGATTCAGAAGAACAGAAAACGAAGGAAGCTGCAGAACCGAAAGGCGGAGAATCGGAGGATTCTGAAAGCGACACGACGGAATCGGAGAACACTTCCGACAAGGAAGGCGTAGGCGCGGCTTCAAGAACGGAACCGGGTGAGGATGATTCTTCGGATAAGAAAGCGGCGGATGATAAAAGGGCCGCCGTCGCTGGGAAATCTGATGGGGAGAAAAGTGGCGGCGACGGAAAAGCTGCAGTAATGGATGGTTACAGTGGCAATGCGCAGCTTAAGAGGTCAAGAAAGATGATGAATGTGGCTTTGGTGGTTCTGTTGGTTGTTGGTGTTGGGTTGTATCTTAACAGCAAGATGAGGTCTTCGTCGTCCAATGATGCTGCTGGAGAGCTGTGAAGATTTACGTAATAATAATTCATAATATTATCAGTGATTAAAGTGTATATTGTTGATCCAATTGAATGTGGTATTTCTGTGTGTGTTCCATGTTATTGTAAATATATATAATACTAAATATTAATTAATTGATCTTGTAGAAAGTGGAAATTTAATGGCCAAGAATGGAAGGATTTATATATTTTGGATGGGTCTCATCATAGTAGGCAAATTTTACTGGTTCATGGTCCAAAACAGTGCAATTTCTTTTAATTTAAAGAAATTGCACTTATTCTGTCTAATTAATTACTCATGTTTGCAGGGACGGAGCCAGAAATCCGGTTGAGGGGGGCGAAACAGTACAGACAGATTCAGAAATTTTTTTCAGAAAAGGCGAAACATTAAAACAAAAGAGATAATTTAAAAATAAATAAATAAACTATCTGAGAAATATAATTGTAAATATTGTTGGATAGGGACGAAAAATAAAACATATCGAAACTTTATAAAAATATTCATAACAAAATATGAAACATAATTAATAAAATAATTTGAATAGAAAACACATTATAAATTACACATCTTATTATAGAGTGTGTGTAATATTAAAAAAGCTATTAAAAAAGAATTGTAAAACAATGTTGATGCTAAGATGGAACCCTTAACCTAATTATTACCAAGTATGTGCTCTACCACTTACTCTAACTCACTTCTTATTAACATTTTATAGTTTTTTTATACTAATACTAAAACATGTACTATATATACATATATACATACAAATACTATATACGGGGTGGGGGTGGGGTGGGGGGGGGGGCAGCCGCCCCACCCCCCGCTCCCTCCGTCCCTGCATGTTTGTACGATCACCACCACAAAAATATACTATTAACGTCAGTTATTTAGATCATACGACATCAGTTAAAATTAAACGTTGTACAAACATACGTTATAACTTATAACTAAAAACCGATATGATGTAGTATCTCATTTTCAAATTTTTTTAAAAAAATACATAAAACGTCATTTTTTAGCAAATAACCAACGTCGTAAATTAATTAAATATAAAAAAACATGGGAAATAAAAATATATGACGTCGATTTTTAAAGAAAACTGACGTCATATATTTTAAAAGTTTTTTTAAATAACATACCACGTCGATTTTTAACAAATAACCGATGTGGTATGTTTTTGTTTAATTTTTTAAAAATTTACATAACATACAACGTCGTGGTATGTCATTTTTTAAAAAAAAATAATTGTTTCTATATGACGCTGACGTCGTATATATATATTTTTTACATTTTTTAAAATATAAAATATATTTTTAAAATTTTAAAAATAATTATTGCTCTATACTTTGCACTTGAAAAAATGAACTTTCCTAACTTTCTATTGCAAATGCGTGCTTGTGTTTGACCATACAATATTCAATTTCAAGTGTTCATCATTTGAGAACGATATTCGGGAGAATATTCAATCTCCACCCACCGCTTAACTACACCTTGTCAAAGGGCACAACGTAGCGATATATAAAGCGGGAGAAAAAAAAATACTAAGAGTAAACGAAAAGAAACGTTGATAACAAGAAGACTTACCTAGTAAATTAATTGTGAAGGTATTAAGGGATCTTGTGGTTGGGATTTTTTCCAATAAATCCGGGAAGCTCCGACGGTGGAAAGTAACGAGTAAATTTCACTGGCCCACACATAAGGGGTATTCATAGGAAGAGAAGAGGCGCGAAAATTTGAAAAATGCTCGGCAAAATTCCCCAGGTTGATCCGATGTTGACATGTGTCCTCAGTCGTGCCTAAGGCGCAGATGATGACACATATCACTCCTAACTTAGAATCAATCAGTTGTGTATCTAACTACTTCACTTGCTAGGGGCGACACTCTCCGACAGAGCCGTGGTGTCACCCGTTGTTTCGATGACTTCGAGGCCAGAAACAACATGTAAGGTGTGTGTGTGTGTGGGGGGGGGGGGGGGGGGAGGGAAGCTAGATGATAGTGCATATATGCCCGACCGGGTTTCTAGCTAGACATCCGGGACTGATCACCCCGGTTCGTTACCGAGAAGAACTATATAATTGTCAAAATTTCCCTACCTCCTGAGAAGGCTAACCTTAGTATTCACCTTTGAGATCGAGAAAGATGACGGCTACTTTGCCAATTTAATCGAAGGCTTGAACGGACTGTCCAATCACGTCCCGTTTACCTTTTTCCCCTTTTCCTCAAACACTTGGCAAAGCCCCCCTGACCGGCCAACCAACATCCACCACGTGGGGGACATGTAACACCCCAAATTTTTAGAATAATTAAAGCTTATGAAATCAAGGCAAATCTATCATTAATTATCCCAAACAGAGCATAAAACTATCCATAAGAGTCGGGCTGCTATGCCACACCTAGGTTTGAGAACCTAGATGCACAGGCTAAACTAACCAAACATATTTAATTTGTAAATCCATATTCAAATGCAATCCAAGGCACGCAGGCCATCTACAATGTTAGAGCTAACTAAGCTAAGTCCAAGGCTCTGACTAGCGCGCTCCGTAGCTAATGTTCATCACCTGAAAACATTCGGTGTAACAACCGTCAGCGAATAACGCTGGTAACCCACTCCAACGCGTTAAGTACAATATAGGTAGGTATAAGAAACTCATTTTGACACTGGAATACATATATACTTACGAGAGTCTAGTTTAAATCCAAGATCAAGACTCAAGACATATTATCAGACTCTATATCATAGAATAATCATAAGAACTAACAGGCACCCTAAACATGCAATACAAGACATGACAGGCAGATAAGCATACAAATAACAAGTAGAGGCAACGAAGGCATTCAATACAATCAATTAGCAAGTAGTCATCAAAGCACACAATTCATCCTCCAACCTTATACCAAGTTCCAACCTTGTAACTCCCCTCCGTCCTTATATCAGTTCCAATCTATACCTCCAGGCCACCCTTATATCACCACCCCTTATGCCTCCGGGCAACTACATGCCCCCACCGACAAACCACCTATCAACCACCAACATATCAAGATGGTGCCACAGTGCCATTCAATGATCCGCACCTCTAGTGCCAATATCAAGGGGTTAGCGCATATAGCTCTAACATGACACCGCAGCACTTATAACCTGACTCATGCTCAACAGCAAGCTAGTCGAAGGTGGGTGTGTGCCTTTCGCACAGCCACCACTATGGCCTGTACCTTTAGTACAATGACCGGGCACAAGTGGTGCCAACCGCCACCAATTCACAACCTCAACATCATCATCATCATCATCAGTCACACCGGCCATTGCGCAATGACCACGATACTCATTATCATTCAACCAATCAACACATAATCACATAACAATCAAGACACAACAACAATGACATGTATTACACATAAATTCCTAGAATGATGCCTAAAACACCAAACGAGACTTATACACGACAAACGGGGTACAACGGGACACAACGGAACACGGGGAAACATCAAACGGGGAAAAACATCATGACACACATTAACATTCCAGTGGGTAGGTGGCGGGTGGAGGACCACCCGCCGCCGGCCGCCATCTATTCCAGCGGGTGGCCCGCGGGCAGACCACCGCCCACCGGCTGCCCGCTGGAACAGTAGTCCCGGGCAGCGGGTAGGTGGCGGGTGGTTAACCCCCCCCCCCCCCCCACCTACGCCCACTAGTACACAGGCAACTTTTCGGTCTCGGGTTCACTCGTGGAACTCGAAACCATGTCCAGACACATTCAAATACATAACGACAACACCGCGTATTCAATTAACGGAAACAAGCCAAGAATCATACAAAATACGTTCGAACACGATTCATAAACATGCCAAGACTCAACATAAATCATATAGCGGTTCAAGAGCACCCGGAGCCACTGGCACATCAAGAAATCTATATGCAAAGTCCTAAACGCAAGTCCTAGGCTAGACTCAACACCCGATCATGCATAATCTCACCCAAATATACCAAGAACATCATAATACGAAATTCACGATATAAACCCTAGGGCTCTAGACACAATCAAAATACAAGATCGTTCATATAATCAATCACAATATCAAGAACATCAAGATTATCACATAAACACAATATAAACCCTAGGCAAAGCTCTATCAAGACTCAAGCACAGAATCATATATCAAAGGAGCCAATAAATAAGATATAGCAAGGAAAATAGGTTTTGTCGAGACATGGGTTACCTCTTAGCCCTAACCAATATCCCTGGCTACTAAGGTTCTTCTCTAAGATTCTTCTTTCAATTGATCTTCATAGGCTAGCTAGTGGGGGATTTCCTTGGCTAGGGTTCCTGCGAGTGATTTCGTGTGAGAGAAGGGAGAGGAAGGGTCCTATCTGATTCCTAATCCCCTATTTATATATTTAAGGGAAACCTATTCAAGGTCTGAGTAATAAGGCCCGCTTTCCTATTCCCTGTGGGTTTAAGGTTCCTGGTTCAGGTAAGGGTTCACGATTCATCGTGGACCACTCAGGTTAATTGAGGGAATTATAATTAGATTAAATACCCTTTTAATTATTTTAGTTAGCGGAATTAATTTAATAATTAATTTGGATTTGAAGGTCGTAACACGGGGTGTTAGACCCTCCCCCCTAACAGAAAGCTTCGTCCTCGAAGCTTAGACGTGATGGGGTCGAACACCCTCCCTTTGCCTAAGGTTCAGTCTACGTTACCTTGTGCGAATAGTTCAGGGTAGCGTTCCCTCATGTCGCTTTTGAGCTCCCATGTTGCTTCCTCGGTCCCGTGATTAGACCAGAGGACTTTAACCATCTCTATGGTTTTCCGGCGGGTTGCTCTTGTCTTCGTGTCAAGGATTTTTACGGGCCTTTCCTCGTAGGATAGGGCGCCATCCAAGCTCACGACTTCGGTTTGTAGTATGTGGGTTGCATCGTGTATATATTTCTTTAGCTGCGACACATGGAATACATTGTGCACTCGCTCTAGTTCGGCTGGCAATGCGAGGCGGTAAGCTATGTTCCCGACTTTTTCAAGGATTTCGTAGGGACCAATAAATCTAGGGCTTAGCTTTCATTTCTTTCCGAATCTCATCACCCCTCGGGTTGGCGAGATCTTTAGCCAGACTTTCTCCCCTGTAGAGAATTCGTCTTGCTTCCTCCCTAGATCGG